ACAACTATTAAAAGAACATTTAACGCGGCAAAACTGCGAATATCCTTCACTAGTAGAAACTTATTTTCTGTATCCATAAAAGATAAGCTTCCGCGTCTGGTCGCCTCCATGTGCATCTACCAGTTCACCTGCTCTTGTGGAGCAAGGTACATTGGCCGTAGCCAGCGCTCGCTTTCAACTCGGATACGAGAACATATCCCAGCCTGGTTCTATAAGGGTGAAAGGAAAGCAGTTAGGAGTTCTATTCTTGAACACCTAATCGACTATAACCATTCAACAGATCCACAAATTGATTTTAAGGTTGTTTATATGATTCGTTCAAATCTACCCAGATTTCTTCGTATACAACTTTTAAAAATAGCCGAAGCTCATGCCATCCAGGAGCTTAAACCAGAACTATGCGTACAAAAGAAGTACGTCTTATCGTTATCGTTACCTTGCCCTTAATAAGTTTGATTATCCTACCATTAATGTTATTATTATTATTATTATTATTATTATTATTATTACTGCATTCCCCCTTTACTTATGTCTTATATTCTCATTGTTTTATTCATGAACGCTCATCATATCAGTTTATTTTTGTACACCTCCATGACCTTTAATTATTATATCAAAAACATTTTAATCATCTTATTATAATCACTAAATCTATTGTTATTGTTATTATTCATATTACGTAATCTAGTATTATAACCTTTATATTAACTGTGTTCACATTTCCTCACGGAATTAGTACTTTTACAAAAACAAAATTTTCATATATATACGATTGTACAGCTTGATAATAAATTCGTTGAAAAGAGATCCCTTCGCTGAAATTCGTGTTTTAATTTTGATAAATATATTATTCTGTCCTCAACTCAAATGTGTTTTTCAGGAGTACTAAGTGTCATACTGGCAATTGTCACGGTGCGATGAGTCAGAATAGACGATGGTGTGAAAATTTGGCGTAACCTTTGTCTGTACGTTGGGATCACACGTCTAATGACAAACTTCTTCATCGTGTCGCAAGGTTCCTAAGCATTACAAGTATCATATTGAGTATTATGTACCTGTCAAAATAGCGCAGTGGTACTCTCAGCACTGCAGGGAGTTGTGTACGCGGGCCCGTCATGTCGTGCTTATATCTAATCACTCCGTTTATGAAGATTTAGAACGTTGTTTTGAACTGTAAGACAAAAAACGTAGTTAAGTCAGTAATTTTTAAGCAATTTCCGCATTGTAATAACTTCATACTCTGCAGTATGATCGAGACAATAAACTTCGCTAAATTGCTCTTGGGTCATCAGAAAGTTCAGCGACTCTTGAGACAAAGCTAGGTTACATTTATGTGTCAGCTTGTACTAGGCTTCAACATCTGATTTTTAAGCTTGGCAGTTGTTCGAGGAAAATGGAAGAGCAGTCAAATATCTGTGAAACTAAACTGAAATGCTCAGAGTACACAAAAGCTTAAATCATAATACGTATAAGCATTTTACCGAAATCTACTGCCGAATTATCTCTGACTTCCCAGGAAACCCTACATTTCGCTTTCTGCTGACGTATCAAGTCAATAAAGCCCCTACAACACATAGCTTACTACAAACTACCAGAGTTCTATCAATCCAGGGATTCCAGATCACTATATATTATAACAAGCTTGGCTGTTTCACTTGCTTAAATGTCACTTCCAAATCAGCATCAGTCAGTCAGCTACAACGTAGGACCAGGCACATATGTGCATCGGTCCAGGTTGCCATACCTCATTAGCACAACAAGATGAACACCGGATTCATAGGAGTGGTTAGGTCAAAGGTTGCAATAAGGATATAGTATAGGAAGGAATAATTAGTTCGTAGAAAGAAAGATATGAAGTGATTTTAATCTCTTAGTTTAAGGGAAGACAAAGAGTGTATACACCGACGCCATTGTGATCGATTCTGAGCCATGTCACCAAGAGTCTCCAACCATTGGTTACGAAAGTCACGTGGACCCCAACCAAGTAGTCTGCATCTACCAGCATACGCCATTCCCTAATTAGAAATTACTTAACTAATACGCCTTGATAATCAAAATCGTCAAGTTTTACAAATTGGTTTCACGTTTTATTGTACAACGTAAGATGCAACTGAAGCGCGTAACTCAACTATTCAAACACGGATGTTTCATTATTCAGTAGAGGGAAATGGGAAATATAGTACCGATGTAAAACAAGGAGACAAAGAAAGACAACTCACAGTTATGAATTCCTTATCCTAACACCAGGTTTTTCGTTGACTACCAATTGCTTATACATAACTGCTACAAGATTACTATTGCGGGCCACAGATCGCTTGATTACCTGTGAGAAAGTTTAAGCACTACATACTGAGGAAGATCTAACCTAGTCCAAATAAAAAAACAACAATATTAACTTAGTAATTATAAGCATAATAAGGTCAGTTGAAACACCAACTACGATGGAACTCTAAATTGGACGAAATAACATTCAACCTGGCTTGCAGAGATGAGAAAAAGACTGTAGATCACCAAAAGTAGGTTGTCCATTGATGATCGGGGTCCATTGTAGTAGAATGGGAATGCTGTGACACCTCGCTGCACAGTACCTAACGTAGATTGCTCTTTCAAATTATTTAGATGTTATGGCTATTTTGATGACCAGAGAACAATCATGACCTTACTAGAAATGTGTATACTGGGAATAGACTACAGAAGTACATAGTAGAAACACTGTAGTGTGCGCCAATTCATGGTATGCAAAAGATCAATCCCCGTAAACCATCCTTAACCTTGACGATGTTCGGTAGGCTATCAGTGGTCTGTCGCCTAACGTAGAAATGGTTTAGCCCTACATCATGCTCATCCAGCCAATGAGACACGAGTATGACTAGCAGGCCCGATAATTGCATCAGTCGATTTTGGAAGTCAAGTAAAAAGTTGCTGAACGCAAGGAAATACTGTAAAGTAGAAGTGACAATAAGTAGTGGAATTGAATTTCATATCTTAACTAGTAATTCCCAAGATTCTGCAATTTGCACTTTGGTATTCGCAAATGAACTAGTAGTCACAAAGTAGTGAGCGGACCAGGTATTGTATATTTTTACTTCAAATTAAGCGTGCAGTAATGTATAAACCATTTGTAATAGTATACCAACACTATATATACATTCGTGTGTGAATATGAGTAATAACCTTATCTTCGATCCAAAGTTACACATGGCACACAAAAGCAAATGAATGAAAAGGACAACTTTATATTGACAAGAAACAAAAGGTCGATGCCATGCAGTACGAATGTAAGAGGAGTTCCACTGCTTACAAGTATACACAATCTTACAATTGCCTTATATGCAGCAGAATAACGATTAAATGAGTCGAATAGATAAAACTCGTCTCCGCATATACTTACTGCTGCTGTTTGTCTCCGTGGATACAAATATCTAAAATATATTCTTAGAATATATTTTGTACTTAGCTTTTTATGCCACTGTTACACAATATATATAGCCGTGATATTGGATAAGAAATTACATGGAGAATTATATTCAAATGGAGTCAACAAAGTGGTAAAGTTTGTGATAATTGTGTATTTCAGTGAGCTATTTACATGTTTGAATTAACTTTGGTTTTAACGACAGTGTCTACGTCAGTTTATTTTACTTTTACTATACTTAACCAATTTCTACCTTTCTGGCACAACAGCCAATGTATACGTCAAATTACTCCAATGTTTACACGTGCATACATGCTTGTACAACTTTAAAATAAAATTTTAACACTTGATTGGGGGATTTTATGTCACTTCCCTTTCTTAAAAACTCATAAAAAATAATGAAATCAGAAATATTGTAACCTATTTTTCTTAACAACTGAAATTCAACGATATTTTCTAATAGAATCCTTGAAGCGAACCCTTCTTGCTTGTAAACTTGTATGTCTTTTATGTGACTTTCAGCTACTTAGTAATCGTTTCAAGATCCCCAGATTCAAGTTAACATTCTATCTGAGTCATATCAACATTAACAATTTTATTGTATTTTGTTTAACAATCCTAAATTCACATACTTTAAACGATGTGATTTGCCCTTAACCTGGTCATTTTTCGGATTATTAATTTGGATATATAACTGTAGAACTTGAAGAGATTTTATCGAAAAGAACATTCTTCGTTTAAATACTTAGTAGTCAATTACTGTTATTATGGTCAGTGAGGTGAAATCTCCAGGTTGTTAAGCATCCTTTATATTTTTACTGACCACTGCTGAATTTATGAAATAATCTATAGAAATACGAAATGTTCCATCATTACAATAATAATAATAAAAGTTTTCATCACTATAATTACCGCACAGATAATCAAACAATAGACTTGAAAATGAATGGTAGCAGATAATGAATGATTGGAATTTTGCGTCAGTATTAATTTTATACACAACACAATATACACCAATATATGCGGAAGACAAATAATTAAAATGATTTAGTACTGATTGTTTCTCATCACCTTCTGTTTATATTCTCTTTAATATATCTAATTATTTACACACTTCTCATTATGTTATTTTAATAACGTTAAGTGATTATTATTGAACTATTAACTAGGATTTCTATTATTTATATCATCACTATCGTTGTTACGTCTATCTACTTACTATTAATTTGTAGTTTTTACTTACTATTTCATTTCTTTAGTTCAGGTAAATTTAACAAACAACTTTTCTACAGACTGACATTGTATGTGTATATATAAGTACTTGCCCTAATATGAAAATATACAACAACAAACACCTTTCATATCATAAAGTCTCTTAAATATAAGACAAAATAGAAACAAATAGTTTAATGACCGAGGAAGCTGTAGAGTTAGTTCAGTAACCAAGAAAAAAATGCTGATGAAAGCATATTAAGCAAAACCAATCCGATATTATAATCAATGACTAAGAACGGTCTCTAATGTAAACAAATTATTTTCGATGAAATAATAATGCAATAATGAGAATCATAGTAATATAACAATGCAATGATTGTCAATAAATTTGTGTGACCGAAGTATACAACGAGAACTTTCTTGTCGTGTTCCAGTTACTTTAAGATATTGTGTTATAAAACAAAAGTGACATGAATAACGTTTGAAATAAAAGGAAATAATTTAATTCTGCAACAAAATGATCATTTGAATTTTCTTTTTAAAGTCAAGTTTGGTTAAAATATACGATCAGGAAACAGAGCCGGTGCAACTAATGTCCACACATAAATACCCAAACATACCCAACTGCTCACAATACGTACCCAAAAACCAGCTGAATTGCTGACTAGTGTTTTCAAATCATTTTGTGGCTTTAGCCAATTAGTAAGCATGACCATAACATACAATGTGGCTAGTAACATCATAAAATGGTACATAAAATAGTTATAAGCCACACCATTTTTTTCATTATCCCATACTTTTTGACCAACACGTCCATCGTCGTCATCAGCACTAGAAAATTGTTCTGCCAAGGTTGTATCTTCTGTACCCTACAGAAGAAAGGCAAAAGTATAAACAAAAACAAATTTAATTTCCTAAATCAACTAGAAGCAAACAGATGTCATGTTAGATATTTAGAACTAATAAAGTAGAAAACTAGGATTTGTTTAGTTTTCTTCGTTAACACTTACAGTTTAACAAGGCTTGTGTGGAAACATGAACACTTTGTTGATGATTAATGTTATTCGGTGCTATGGAAAGACAGTAGGACTGCTTTTAAATGATAACCAGAAATACAATTGGTATATATTTCTAGCCATAAAAACAAGGTAAACACTCATAGGTCTAATGAAAATCCAAATATGACGCCATTTCTACTCTAGATTGTCTTATACTGACTTAATGTCCACACATTAAGTTGACTCACGGAACGAGCTTTTCTTTCATCTTTTGAACTAATGTAATAGTAGTCTGTAGAGAGCAATAACCCAATTGAAGGATACCACATCTTTCTAATCTATGATAGATCAGTGACATTCTCAAGCCTGGACTCAGATTGATCACATCGCGATCAGCTACCGCTGGCGTGGTTGTGTGCAAGACTGCCGCTCCTTTTGGAGTACCTATCTGGACTCTGACCATGCCTTGGTCTGCGCCAATCTTGCCTTACTTTTCAGTGGACAACGAAGTGAACGCCATCAACGGATTGATGTTAGCAAGCTGGTTGCAACTTCTGTTGCAAGTAAGTATCGAACCGAGCTAGCCTCTAGGCTAGCTACCACTCCACCGAAAAGTATAGATGAGCATTGGTTGCAATTGCATGACGCCATGAAAATGGCGGGAACAGTCAGTTGTGGGTTTGCGAAACGTCCCGCTTTTAAGCACTGGGTTTCTTCTGGTTCCTTACAACTCATTGAAGCCCGTCGGTCTACTCTGGGTGACCGTGAGTTTGACCATAAACGAAGGTTGTTACGTGAGGAAATTGGGCAAAGCTTGCGTAAGGACCGAGAAGCCTGGTGGTCGATGCGTGCTAATGAGCTGGAAGCAGCAGCTGCATCTGGTAACTACCGGAAGCTCTTCCAGCTCATCCGAGCCACTGGCAGCAAGAAGTCTGGTGTGAGTGAAACAATCTGCGAGGATGATGGGATGCCAATCACTAACATCCATCGACGTCTTGGACGATGGGCAGTTCAACTGGCCTGCTGCTCCGGCAACATCGGTCAGACTGTCCTGCCCTCCATGGCCGGTGACGACTGATCCACCAAATGAGGAGGAAGTCCGCAAGGAACTCCAACTCTTGAAGCGTTACAAATCACCTGGTCCAGATGACTTACCTCCGGCTCTTTTTAAAGATGGTGGTGACTTTTTGACTAAGGAATTGACGACGTTGTTTACAAAGGTTTGGGAACTAGAGAGTGTACCAACGTCATGGAATGAGTCGATAGTTGTCCCTGTCTTTAAAAAGGGTTCACGTCGTTCTTGTAACAACTATCTGGGGATAAGTTTACTTCCGATTGCGTCCAAGCTATTGGCTTCCGTCATTCTTCGTAGGTTGTTCAAAACCCGAGAAAGATTGACTCGCGAGGAGCAGGCTGGCTTTCGTTCTGGTCGAGGATGTATTGATCATATCTTCACCCTCCGCCAAATGTTAGAACACCGCCATACTTTTCAAAGGCCAACAATCGTAGTGTTTCTTGACATCAGGGCTGCCTTCGATTCGTTGGACAGAACTGTTCTCTGGGATTGTCTATTGAAGAAGGGTGTGCCTGAGAAGTTTATTAACATCCTAAAAGCCCTGTATAAAAACACCTCAGGCAGAGTGAGGGCATACAACCACCTCTCTCCATTGTTCCATTCGAGCAGTGGGGTTAGGCAGGGTTGCCCAATCTCACCATTCCTCTTCAACTTTGCCATCGATGACATTCTGGAAACAGCTCTGATGGATGTAAGTAATGGTGGTGTGGATCTGTTGCCTGGAGAAAGACTTCTCGACCTTGAGTATGCGGACGATATTGTCTTACTGTGCGATAATGCCCAAGGCATGCAATCCGCACTTAATCAGTTGGCAATCAGTGTCCGTAGGTATGGTATGTGCTTTGCACCTTCGAAGTGCAAAGTACTTCTACAAGACTGGCAGGATTCTAATCCTGTACTCACCCTGGATGGTGAGCAGATAGAAGTAGTCGAGAAGTTCGTGTATCTGGGTAGCTGCATAAGTGCTGGTGGGGGTGTGAGTGATGAGATCAATGCACGAATAGTGAAAGCCAGAGCGGCTTATGCCAATCTGGGCCACCTTTGGCGCCTTCGTGATGTTAGTCTGGCTGTAAAAGGCCGGATCTACAACGCGTCGGTGAGAGCAGTTTTGCTCTATGCTTGTGAAACCTGGCCTCTCCGAGTTGAGGACGTTAGACGACTCTCTGTGTTCGATCATCGCTGTCTCCGAAGGATTGCTGACATTCAGTGGCAACATCATGTCAGTAATGCAGAGGTTCGGCATCGTGTGTTCGGGCACAGAGATGATAATTCAATTGGTGTCACCATCTTGAAACACCGACTTCGGTGGCTTGGACATGTTCTCCGAATGTCGTCCCAGAGAATTCCACGTCGTGCATTATTTGCCGACTCTGGGACTGGTTGGAAGAAGCGGAGAGGTGGTCAGTGCATGACATGGTGTCGTGGCATGAAAGAAAGCTGCAAAGGACTGGCTTGTGTTGGTCCTTCACGACTCCCTGGTTGGGGTCTGAGAGATGGTGCTACACAGTGGCTAGAGACGTTATCAGATATGGCTCAGAATAGAAGCCAGTGGCGATCCTGCTGTAACCTTCTTTTACTTTCTTCATAAAAAGTGGTTGTGTCTCCTTTACCTGAAAGATTTCTTCTGATTGTACCTTTTCGTTCCGTCGCTACTACCACACTACCTTACTCCAATCTCTTCGTCATTGTTCTCTTTTTCTTTTGGGTTCCTTAGTTTTTTTTTCTTTCTACTTCTCTTCGAATTCCCATTGTTTTGTGTGGCGCATATATATTGGCGCTCTCTTGTACCAATATTTATGTGTTCAAATAAAATAAAATAGTGACATACAGTACAGACCAAGAGGCTTCTTGGATAACATACTTAACATTCGAATAATAAAACAGACTTGCAAAAAGACAGACTATTTCGAAAGAACTTAGCAGGCTTTTAACACAGATAATACAGAAGTGACATAATAAATAAGACTAAATATTTTATTGGAATTCAAGATTACTCGAGAACATTTGGTGCTTAGTAGATAATTAGAGATGTCAATGTCAACGATTTTACCAAGACCAAGCAAAATTAAATTACGAGAAAACATACAACATTAGGTTAGATTTTACTGAATTGGACATAACTCATTTTCACCAGAATCAATTGTAGGTGGTAACACATATTGACTAGATTCGTGAACTCATATGTTGCAAAAGAGATTCTCGTCGTTACGTATAGTTAAGTGATGATGAAGATGTGTCTCATTAATGAACTATGGCTTTGAGCCACCATCAATATGACCACTAGCGATAATACGTTGCCGCTAGACAGAAGTAAGCGTTGTGACGTTTGAACATGTAACCTAGTAATTCAATGGCATGTTTTAATTTGTTATCGTAAGCCTACTTGAAACTACCAGTACAGTCGAATCACTCCAACTCCAGAAAGTTAATCGAACCCAATAACTTCATATAAGGATAAAGAATAAGAAATGAATGTAACTGAGGGGATTTTAATTACATTTACCATGAGCACGATTACTAGTAACCCCGAGTTCATAAGTGGTAAAAAGGAATGTAGAATAATGATTAAACATTATATAAGTGTAGACTAATAATGCAACTGTTAATCAAGGTTAGCTATAAACAAAAATGGCGATTTCCAACGATCAGCCATTATTCGAAAAAAAAAATCAGATAACATGCAAACCAAGTCAAAACACTCATCTACTAAATTCAGCATCAATGTCTACATTTACTAGGACAACTCATTTCCATATTATTTGCTTTCGTAGATTCTTATCTAACTTTATTTGACAAAAACATCTATTGATCTACATAAATAGATAAATCTATTAATCAAAGATGACCTAGATAGTAACACTATATATATATGCCTACCAATTAAGAGACGAGTATACTGCGCAGCAGTTCGGTTCGCCGTATACGGTATAACACTTGACTTTTATCCAAACATGTACAGAAGCGGTTTATTGTAAACTACAAGAGTAGATCGACAGCCACAAATTATTTTATGAAATTCCTTCACTGAAACAACGACAGCTAATCCTTCCTTTTCTATTTGACTACATTTTCGTTTGGTTGCACTACGAACTCTTGATGTTATAGATTTTTCTTTATCATCAGAAAAACAGTGATTAATAACAACTTCGATTCCATGGTTAAAAGCATCAGCAGCTGCAGTTATTTCTAATTTAGGATTAAACTTTATCAACAGTAGTTTTGAGGATAATATTCTTTTATTTCGCCGAATGTTTACATTTAAATCCAGTTCCATGTGGCGTTAACTACCAAGGGTTGGTTTAACGGGTATCGTAACACGTGCATTGAAGATATAAATAGAACACAGTATACAAGCATTTCCAGGAACGAAGTGTGCTAGAATCTGTTGGTCTGAACACGTGTTTGATGGTATTTACACTATCCGGAATTGGTCGACGACCATCTTTACTAAATATATACCTAAGGTACATAACGAACTAAAGCAAAAATTCACATCTTTTTTCTTTGCAATTAAAAACAAACTTGTGATATTTTGGTATGCTATATATCCGATCGACCTATTAGTTCCTCAGCGATTACGGCAACAATTACAACATAATCCGGGTAAACTGCCAAACTTTGCAGATTAAACAAGGTAACATCCATTATTTGCTGGGAAATTTCTAGCGCTGGTTTCACACCGAATGGTAACCGGTTATACTGATAAAGTCCACTATGAGTATTAACGGCTAGAGACTCCTCTGATTTTGTATCAACTTCTAGTCGCAAACAGATTTCAGATAGTAAATAAATCTTTTGGTAGAGGTAATGGATATGATTGATGCTGTAAATCATAAGTAAAACCAGTTGAAAAATTTACATAAGGACGAATAGTTCTATTTGTTTTCTAAAATACGACAACTTGAACTACCTATGCTGAATAAGTAACAGTTTGCATAACATTGAGTTTCTCTAGTGGGTCTGATTCGTTGTCAGCTTTATCTGTGGCAAGATACGGAGATCGATGTTATGGATGAAAAGCGGATTTCACATCTTGTCGTAGGTATATTTTCAGCTTCCCAGTTGTGCGTTATCCCAACCTATTCTGAAACAATTTGGCATGTTTTCTGAAGTCATGACAAACAACGGAAGCTAATTTTCGAGACGATATTTCACTCAATTCAGCGCTTGTGAAACACTAGCATATATTTTTATCTTTAGTTTATTCTACGAATCATAGGCTTTCGTTTGACGTGCGATTCACTGCTATAACTCATTCTTTTCTAAGGCCATTGTAATTTAAACGTGGCCTTTTGTACTCTATTTTCCTACCCTAATGCCCAGTTTCGGACATAATTGCGTTTTCTTAACTGCTTGTTCGTTGTGGTCATGGTGTAGTAAACAAGAACACGAGTGGGGACAATCGAATGTGTTTGAACACACAATTACAGAACGTCTTACTAAAATCTGAGAACCATACCGTGAATAGTTAATTTGCAAAATATCAACCAATTGTCTCAAACTTGACTGTTTCTTTCGCAAATATCAGTCTATCGTCTCAGATTTGATTGTTCGTGCATTTTCATACCAATTGCCTTCCATTTCCGTTCTTTCTTTACCGATCTTCTACTGAAATACATTCTATTCCTAATTATCGTTATATACTACTTGTGTGGATATAAGTAGCTTACACCACAATGATAGTCATCTATCTAGTCATTAATCGGAATCGGGATCGAAAATAAGTCGAGTAGTGTGCCAGTTGACTCGTCCTTTCTCTGTCTTTCGGTTGTAAACCAATTAGGTGATAGAACAGTTTTCGTCTCTCTACCCAAGGCCGTTAATCTCATTTCGAACTCACGCATACTAGCCTCAAAGTTAAACAAGTGAGCCTATCGTTCAAGGATTTAGTTAAGATCAATACAAGCTACCTTTCGTAAATAATTGGACAGACAGATCAAGAGCGCGGCATTTTCCCACGTATTTTACTGTCAAAACTGTCTTAGTTGCGTAAACGATTTAACCTGTCTATTCAGTCAATGGCAAATGTAACAAATACACTTTTTATAAATTTGATACAAGGGCTTCGTTGGTCGTGATCACGAACTCTTTCGAGTGGTATTGGCTATACTTCGTGCCGTTTTGTCTTTAGACCGTCTTAACATTAGAGACAGTATAGTTGAATGGAAACGCACTATTAGTTTCCATAATGATTGTATCTTGTTCTATGTTTATTAGTCGTTGACGTTCTGTAGTAACAGACTGGAGCTTCATCTCATTATTACGTTCAATCCGGGACAACAATCGTGTGAGAAAATTGGTATATGTGGAAGAATTTAATCCAGAAATTTAGCCTGAGCACTAGCTAATACACTTAACTTGAGACGCTCTGCTTGCACATTCAGCCTTCCGACATACGTAAGGTAATTTTCGTTAGCTTCTTTTGTCAATGGTAGACAACTATAACTAGTACGAGATTACAATACTTGTTCATAAAACATTTTATCAATAATGTTAACAGCTTCATTAAAATACAATTATCAGGTGTTTAGACAGAATATGATTTGAGTACTTTTAATGCTTATTCAGACCAAGCATTTTAACAGTAACTGGATCACTTTTGAGTTATCTGAAGCAGTACATTTTACCCGGAAAAGGTCTTTTATTTTGCCAAACCAGGCTTTAAAAGTATGTCTGCTATCTACATCAAAAACAAATCGCAGAATTTAACTGAGAAGTGGTTCTATAACTTTCTGTTCTGGGGCGCTTCACTAGTAAGAACCAAATGAGATTATTTATCGACCGAATTCATTCATTTTTTAAAACGTTACACGCAGTGATTTTTAATCAGATCAATTGTCACATTGGATACCAACCAAAATTAAAGCAAAAAAATCCTGAATATCACGTCAAAAAGCACATACAGTTAACAGCCACGATAGTATATCAATATGTTAACTAAACTAAATAAGAGGATAACAACAGGGTTTATTTACTGATCATACAATAGCGGTTTCTTTAGGCAATCCAAATGACAAATGAAATACGGATTTTAAAGAGAAAACGACAAAAGTATGAAAATTAGTGAGATAATTGACCATAACTAAGTTCAAAATAAACAGTAATAATCCCAAACGTATAATCCCAGAGGCTTCGAGCATTAGTGATAACATGATACTCGGTTTGTGCGAAAATTGGGTCATAATATCTATGTTATCGAGCTAATATTCAAAAAGACATAGAGGGGAAATGGAAAAATTCGGAAAACGAGGTCCATGGTATGGACGACCACTTGTGATCTAATTACGCAAGGATGATGTACGACTAAAAGGCTGATGAATCAAAATATTGTGATCGACGTCTTCCAGTATACTTTAGTGGTATATATAGGGTAAGCTACGACTATTATTAGTGGTATCCAATTTGTTGGGTTTTCAAAAGAAAACATGAGACAATAAGGATGATATTTGGAAATATATATTCATTAGAAACAACAAACAGTTGGAGTAATTTACGATTATAGGTAGAATAAAAAAACAAATAAATACTTACGGAAATAAGGAACTTTCCAGCTGATGTTTTTGTACTAGACCTTAGGGTGGAGTAAAGAACAGAAAAAACGAGCACTATTATACCGATAGCAATATGTCGATCGAACTTCAAAACAACTGAACCATCTTGTGTATTTGTACTGTTTGCGATAGTTAGGGATGGGTTGCATACTGGATCATGACCATTTGTTAAACCAGACCATGTCAGGAAAGTTACATAGGCAGTAATCATTGAGGACTGAAAAGAATTATGTTAAGTTACATCAAAACGATATATCATTGGTAATAAGAATAATTTTTATCAGCATAATAAAATATTAGGTGAAAGAACTATGTATTTTGAAGTGTTCAACTGATTACGAAAACTAATGAAGAAAATATTTATTTATTTGTTTAAACAAACATTGGTACAAGGAGGTGCTAAAACTATACTTGCGCCACACAAGTCATCTGATTTTTATGTGGGCTGTGATACTGCCCGGGTGCCCAGACCGAAAATATAATTGAGGAAAAAGTGTGAAATTTTTATGAACATTTTTAACTGTGATCAAATATTAAAAACGCTAATGTATAAATCAAAACACATATAAATGTACAATACCTATCAATTATATTTCCATCAGGATTTACTTATATGGATTCACCTCTCCCTCTCGAAATGCTCTCACATGTCCACGCGTATACAGTCACTGCCAGGGAAGTCCTACTCACTGACTTCTCGCGGCGGGGTTGTTGTTTACGAAATTGAGAGGACGAAAATTGAATGCCCGATGTTTTGACCAGGTTTGTGGATATGGAGGATTTATTTATTTAAGCAAATAAACACTGGTACAATGAGGCACCAAATAGATATGCGCCACACAGACCATTCGATTTGTGTGAGGGCTAGGATACTGCACGGGTGCCCATACCGAAGATGGTTTTCTTAGAAGGCCACTCCCTGAGCTTTTGACCTAAAGGTCTAATCTACAAGGCAGTGGAGCAACCTGAGGGGATGCAGTCCCATGGTAGCCGGTGACCAACGAATGGTTCACACGCCATTTGTTCACTCAGAATCCTGAAGCCCTTCTACACTATTGGTTTGGAGCTGGGGTTTTCCAACTCCCCTAGTTGGACCATCCGTGTCCACTGACCGGGTTAAAGAGCCGGACATTCGCTTTTCGTCCTCAATTTCATAAACGACACCCCTGCTGCGAGAAGGCAGTAAGTGAAACTTCCCCGTCAGTGTTTGCATGCGCGTGGCCATGTGAGAGCATTTCGAGAGAGAGTTGACTCTCCCCACTCTCGGACGTACCAGGGCATTTGGGGGCGGATATAGAGGATCTACATAGAGGAGTTGGAAAACCCTGATTCCAAACCAATGGTGCACACGGGCTCCAGGATTCCGAGTGAACAAATGGTGTATAAACCATTCATTGGTCACCGGCTACCATGGGACTGCATCCCCTTAGGTTGCTACACTGCCTTGTAGATTAGACTTTTAGGTCAAAGGCTCGGGGAGTGACCCCCTAAGAAAACCATCTTCGGTATGTGCATCCGGGCAATATCACAGCCCTCACATGAATCGAATGATTTGTGTGGCGCAAATATAGTTTTGGCACCTTCTTGTACCAATGTTTATTTCAATAATCATAAAGCCCTGTTATAAATGTCCTAGCCTGTGAATTGAAACCTAAAAATATAAACTTGATATAATGGTGAAACCATCGACCGATTTATAGAGGCCCGACTCAAAGTCGTCAACAAGAACCGTAATTCGTTCTTTGAGGCTTTACAACTGCATCGATTAAGGTAATTGAACTAAGTATCACATACGTCCAGCCTTTTATTTAGAGTTCCATATTACTCGGAACCAAAGGATGGGAGAATGTAAGGTCTATATGACAAAATCAAGGGATCATGAAGACGTTGACTACTGACCTGAGATGTAGTCTTGTTGGCTTTTCATGTGCGTTTTTGAAAATAGAAACCATGTACGATAATTGTTCAAAAATGGTCACCATATAAACATGTTTTGGTATTTTGTCTCGGAATTACTTTGCCTCAAATTACTGCCATTCGTCTGTCTTTATCTTATGATCCGTCTCCGCATTTAGTCAACACATTTCTCTATAGCACATTAGACGAAGACTAGAAATTGCTAAACCAAAAAGGTAGGACAAAACGAATGTTTTAGGTTTTAAATTGGACAAGAGCCGAACATATTTTGATAGATCATGATGACTTTCAACACCGAAAAAGTTCACTCACGGAACACATACGCTTACATAAAGGGTCAACAGTTAGTAACATCAGACTATTCTAGTGTCTTGGTTTAACTATGGTGAGATTTCCCCCACATCGCTTCACACAACATTGTAGATTACAAGCGAAGCTAAAAATACTATCATATGAAAAATTAGTTGTTTGCTCGTGTCATGTTTTTTCACCTATACCTTCTATATTTAATTGTTCAAGATAGCTGGTTTTATTACTTTCACGCTTTATCCTTATCTTCTCAAGTTCTCTTAACTACCCTAATAGAAAGTGTGACAATTCAGACAAGTAGATGTTTTAGGTTTAATGTTCCTTGTGTATCCTTGTCTACGTAAAAGCTTATGTCCACAGTCGTTAACTCCGAGTAAGCTAGTAGTTCTTTCGAAACAAAAACAAGATAGGTCATAAGGCTGCTTAGTCATCCGATCTTCCATGATGAGAACTACGCCGTGACTATAAAGTAAATAAATACTTTAATTGTTTTAGAGTTTATTAAGTATAATATTAATCACACAGTTCAATATTCATCTCACCTGTAACAAGCCAGACTGTGGCATATATTCTTGCACTCTCGGCAAAATTGAAATAACTGATGCAAGGAAGCAAAAAATAAGATTAAGACTGATTAAAGCCTTATTTAGTCCACATTGTGGAGCACTTGCGTAAAAGATAAACAGGAGTATAATCCCGGCGATCGACAATGAATTAAAGAGAAAAGTGAAAAAGATCAGACCTAGTGCATAACACTTTTCTCCACTTTCTTCATACTGTGTTAGCCAGTTCTCATTCCATGAGTGAGCAAAATCCACAAGAAGAATTAACTGTATGATTATGTACAAACTCCCACCAATCATTCCGACGTACATCCATAAACTTGTAAAACCTTCCACGGGTATGAAGAATGCACCAATCAATAAGCCAAACCAACAAACATACTTAAAGAACCAAAACCCATTTTGTAATTTCGCTCTCCAGTCCATAGATGAATGGACCCGGATCATAATTACACAGAACACAAGATAAAACATAGTTGATGCGAAACAAATACGGTAAACAGCCCCGAAACCAGTAATAGCATCACAATCTAGAGCGGCTTTTTGCTCCTTCGTAAATGGAGACAGCTTAAAAGGTGTACAAAGTGCAGGGATTTTGGTTAGACTGTCTTTAACGTTAGGAATTAGAGCGATTACTGAAAGAAGGACTGTAACAATAAGTATAATACTAAACATCATTCGTGAAGACGTCGAAGACTTGCAACTAGGTAGGCAAGCACAGCACAAGCTAGCAGCAGAACTGCAAAAACAACAAGCGACTGAACTTACAATACAACCCATCACAAGGAATGCAGAGAAAAAATAACTTTAGAACAAAAAAGATATGTCCACCAAATAGCCAACTCAAAAAGTTGGTCGAGGGAAGTAAGGTCAGTGACGAAGCTTCAACGTCCAACGGAATGGTGGAAAATAAGTTCAAATGGTTCAAATGGTTGTGGGTGTAATAGAAGAAGCTTTCGCTTAACAGGTTTCCGTGTCTAGTAGCAGGGGATCACCAAATCTTCCAAGCAGTAACCTAGGTATGTTAACAATAAAAGAGGAAAAAGAAATTGGTAAATCATAGTATCAAACATCTAGAGTAACTGAGAAACATGCCTAAGAGTAACTCATGACTTTCAATCAGTTTCATTTTGGGAAAGACAGGAGGCTTGATGGCCTATGTTAGTCCTGGCAATGGTGGTCTCTCAGTTGACCCAACTTTCTTTTGAAAGAGTCGACGGATGGAGCCTCAACCACATGCTGAGGTAGTGAATTCCACTCGTTGATTATTCGATGGGAAAGTCGATAGTCAGCTGACAAGTAATTTGTTCTCGGCTTATGAACTTTTTTGGAGTGTCCTCGTAAATTCTCTGTTTTGGAAGACAAGAAAAATGAGGGCATATTAGGTGCAAATTTATCACTAAGCAATTTGTAGACTGTAATCAAGTCGCCTCTTGTTCTGCGATATGACAACGGGAAAAGGTTCAGCTTGGCCAGTCGAGATTCATACGGAAGCTTCGCCATCCCGGGAATCAGCTTAGTCGCCGTTCTCTGAACCTTTTCCAGAAGCTCACTGTCTTTTTTCAAGCAGGGGCTAGCCGCTTGTATGCAGTATTCAAGTTTAGGACGAACGAACACTGTAAACAAAGTCAAAAACGTTTAGCGTCGACATGACTAAAAGCTCTACGTATTGACCATAAGGTTCTGAAACCTTTGGTGGCTATTGCACGGCAGTGTGAAGTAGTCTTTAAGTCTTGACTAACGATACCTTTTAAGTCATTATATGTCTGGACGACAGGTAGCTCAGTGTTATTCATCGTGTATGTATCTGTGCCTTGATGACCGATATGCATCATAACACACTTGGAAGTATTTATCGGCAACTGCCATGTTTGAGACCATTCAGGTAACTTCTTCAGGTCATTTTGAAGTTCTAAGCTATCACCTTTACATCGTATCGTTCTCCATATCTTGACATCGTCAGCAGATAGCAAGACCGATGATGATAGGAGACGAGGAAGGTAATTTACATACAAGAGGGATAGCACTGGCCCAAAAACTGTACCCTGGGGCTCTCCACTAACTTTGAGTTCACCCTTACTCTTTGTTGACGCCCAACTAAGAAGTCTTTTATCCACATCAATAAATTGCCTCTAATCCCGACATTTCTTAACTTATATGACAGCCGGTTGTGCGGAACTTTGTCAAAAGCTTTACTGAAACCAATGAAGGCGACGTCTACAGGTAGCTTTTGGTCCTTAAGAGCGCACCAGATTTCACGAGCCACTAATAAGTTAGTGAGACAAGAATAACCTATTCTGAAGCCGTGCTGCTTCTACGAGAGGATCCGGTTTTTATCGAGATACTTAAACAGCTCTTTCTGAATAATCTTTTCTAAGATTTTAACAACCACACTAGTTAGGCTAACGGGGCGGTAGTTCTCAGCATGTACTTAAAGGGCTTGCAACGAAGTTAGGTAATTCCTTCAGTAGCCTAGGATGTAATTCATCGGGCCCCGTAGATTTACTTGTGTCAAGCTTATTTAGCAGACCAAAGACATCGCGTTCTTTATTGGTCACGCTATCCAGTGTATGTGTGGGGGGATCTGTATACGCTGACGAGAAGGGCGCTTCTACGGTATATACGTTGCTAAAGTAGTTCGAGAACACTTGACCCTTACCAAAGTCGTCCTCCACTAATGATGAAGCAGTACTGTCTTCCCATAGAGCAGGAATATTTCCTTTTTTCTTTGTCCTTTGGTTTATATAGGAATACAAGCGTTTAGGACATTCTATGGATTCCTTAACAAGTTTTCCTTCGTACAATTTTCTAGACTTACGAAGGGTCGGAGCACAAGTATTCCGAGCCTTTCGATACTGAGATTTTGACTCATCAGTCCCCAGTAACCTAAATCTATCCCACATTTTCCTTTTCTTACGGAGAAGGATACGGACCTCCCTACTGAACCATGGTGGTGAGTTTTTCGGCCCCTTTGGTATAGTCCAAGGGATGTGAGGTGTGATAACTTTTAAGTATGAATTTCGAAATGCGTCTCAGGCCGTTTCGATTGAGGACTCTGGGTCTATTGTCCAATCTATTACCGATGCTGAGTGCATGATGTCTGGTATGTTTGCTTTCCCGACGTTGGGTCTGGACTGGACTGACGCGTGCTCGTGACTGGCAGTTATATGGAGGTCTTAATTTAAAACTGCGTGATCACTTTTGCCTAGGGGTGGCATATGATGGAGGTTCGCAACATCATCCTCATAGTGAGTCAATATAAGATCTAATAAGGATGATTCAGTGTCCGGATCATACCTTGTCGCTTCTTTCACATGTTGCACTAGAGCACATGTGATAACCCCATTAACTAGTTCCTGCTCGAAAGAATTCTCCGACGATTTAGTTCGCAAATTTTCCCAGTCTACCATAGGTGCATTGAAGTCCCCTAGGATTAGACATCGACCAATTTGGGACCAAGTATTGAGACTGCTTAACAGGATCTCATTTGCCTCACAGCTTGGACTGCGATAGACCAAACCAATCAGCAGCTCTTGTCCCTTGCATGTCAAGCGGCAACTAACTAATTCACACGTCCCACTCTCATGGGATACACTATCGATAATGGCAAATGGGATAGCATTCCTAATGAATAGAGTTACTCGCTCTCCTTTGCGCTTTTGTGTTCTGCGGCCCTTACTAACGTAAAACCCTCGAAATCAAGTTCCATACTATCTATAGCCTGTGTCAGCCAGGTTTCTGTTACTGCGATTATATCTTGCTTTGTAGAGTCAATCTGTACACCTAGTTCCGATCGCTTATTCAGTAAGCTTCGTGCATTGGTGTAACAGATCCGAAGCCTGTCTAAGTGCCTTTGTGCTTCACCCAGAGTGGCTTCGGCATCATTCTTTGTGGAAGTCTTACAACCCGAAAATTTACAATTTTCTGGCCCTATTCGCCAGCGTCTAACCCAAGTTGTAGTTCTTTCTCGGCTTCCCGTCTTTTAACACCGTCTGCCAACGGTAGGTCCTTTCGGATAAAGACTCCTGAACTCTTTAATTTGTGTCCATTCTGTAAAATTAGGCCACGTTCGTTCGAAGAGCTGAATACTACTTTAAGCAGTCTGGAATGATTTGGTTTCGAGTCCTCTAGACTCCTAGTCTGTACACCTTTAGCAAGGTGACCCCGGACATATTTTGAGGCATGAGTTTGTACAATTAGGGTCTACTATGATATTATTACTGCTCTAATAATAGACCTAATCCTAAATTTGTAGATTTGTCATGATATAACTGCCTAATCTATAAGATCTTACGTGGAAGTCACACCATCGACTACACCAACTCACTGTATCGCATCAATTACCAATACATGATGTAGAACAAGGTTAGGCTAGAGAAAGAACAATATATTTAATATGAATAGAAGATATAAGGTAACATTCAGCAGAGACCACGCCTGCATGGCCGAGCCATGCCACTCGATCAACTCCAGTCCATTCAATTCATTGTTCGCGCCTTCTCCATTGTTAGGTATTTCTCGGCGTTGAATATTGAATATCTATTTTCTGAGTAGTCTCGTGTTCATAGCTTTGTGGACTGTGTGGCTATTGTCTAATGCCACTACAAGTTGATTAAGCAGCTGCCTAATCAGTACGATGTCATGCTCAAAACGAGTTTTAGGTTCAGAGCTCTCGCTCTATGAAAAATATGTGATCTGTCGCTGTGATCAGCTTTCGATTTTTCGACTACTTTTACGGGGGCAGGGTTCTCTTTTATATCCCTACTTTTCTTCCTTACAACCTGTACCCACTCGTCAACGGTGTTGGTAGAAGCAATAACAGTTGCGTCAAACCTAGTGTTGGATTTTGGGGAGTTTTCGACGACCTAAGAGGTCCGGTTATGCTTACCGCATGAAACAGATCGAGCCTTGCGATTGCGGCTTCTAGGTGTTTCCTGTATGATACTATCCTAAATCCTTAGGAGTAGATCAAGCTGCCTATTAAAGGACTCCTGGGAAGTCGATTGGACTAGCTCGGCCGGCAGCGAATTCCAGCAGCAACTCTTAAGGAGTAGAAGTTGTGTCTACAGTCCGTTCTTCGATGTTGTTTCCAATTTCTGCGTGTTACCCCTTAGGTTTGTGTTGAAACTAAGCTTAAGTAGGTGTATAAGAGGATGTCTAGAAGTGTTAAGGATACTGTAAGCCATTAGAAGGTCAACTCTAAGTCGTCTATACTCTAATGGGTGAAGGTTAAGTGAATGGAGGCGCTTTTCGTAAGGTTTAAATTTAAGTCCTCGAACTGATTTCGTGGCTCGCCGTTGGATACGCTCCAGAGTGTCCTTATCCTTTTGGAGTGAGGGAGGAAACACTGTTTCCGTACTCGAAAAGCGGACGAATGAAACTGTTGACGATTATGTGGAAAGTTCTTCCGTCAAACTGGCCGAAAATGCGCTTCAACGTTGCCAGTGCAAGGTTTGCTCGGAAGGCATTTTTGTCACAGTTAGCGTAAGACTTTAAGTCATGGGGCACCAGGACTCCTAAATCTTTTTCGACTTGGGATACTACTAGAGAGGAGTTTCCTAAGTTGTAACTGTAGTTTGCGACATGTCGCAGATGGACTACTTTACACTTTGAAGTGTTAAAGGTAAGTCCGTTATCGTCTGCCCAACTTTGAAGTCGAGTCAGATCCTCCTGGAGTGCCTGTATACCGTCTTGGTTGCGTATCTCTCTCCAAAGTTTCACGTCGTCGGCAAAAAGTAATAAGTCTGACGTTACCTGTTGAGGAAGATCATTTATGTAGA